GGGAGTAAAAGTAATATAAAGGGGAGAGAACAAAAACTTTACGCGCTTTGTGCGAATATCTTCAATCCTGAAATCGGTTTAAAGGTTACCGTTGTGAATCGAGGATGAAACAATTTTTTTATGAGCAGAGTCCCTTTAAATTTCGCTGACAGTGGCATTAATTTAAAATTCCAACTTTTTGGGAAATTGAGTTTGTTGCAATGGAACTGATTTTTTTGCCACAAACTCTGATTTTCTAAACCCTATATCTTTGCAACTCAAAGTCGTAGGTCTTAGATAAATATAAACTATAATTAAATAATCTCGGTTTAAAATATCAAAGGTTGTTTACACCACCAGGTTGCAAAGATATAAGATTATATTGAGTTTGTGGCAAAAACTCAATTTCTTTGTATTTTTTATTATTTTTTTTAAACGAAGAAATATGAATGAGTTGAATATGAATTTTAGCGGAGAAATATGAATAATTTGAATTTTAGCGGAGAAATAATAATAATTTGAATATTGTTTTAGCGGAGAAATATGAATGAGTTGAATATGAATTTTAGCGGATAAATATGAATGAGTTGAATATAGATTTCAGCGGATAAATATGAATGAGTTGAACATGAACTTTAGCGGAGAAATATGAATAATTTGAATATTGATTTTAGCGGATAAATATGAATGAGTTGAATATAGATTTCAGCGGATAAAGATGAATGAGTTGAATATTGATTTTAGCGGATAAATATGAATGAGTTGAATATGAATTTTAGCGGATAAATTATAAATGAGTTGAATATTGATTTTAGCGGATAAATATGACGTGTTTCCAGATTTCCGTTAACGGAAAAATGTAATTTATGAGGAAAAGGATTATGTGAAGATTGGTAAGAATACACTGATGTAAAGATATAGATTTATCCAAACTATTGGATTTTATCTCACACTTGTTTAACACTTGTCTATAAACCTTGCTTTATATACAACTATAGTAAACAATGAATATATATACATACAGTTGTAATCAATAGAAAACGTAAAGATTGTCGTCTTTCATATTTCTTTTAATAGAATTACCGCTCAGTATCTTTGAATTGGTTACGGAGAAGTATGTATAACAAGTATAACAACTTTCTATATCTGTTTTTGTTTACAATATGATACAGTTGTGTTTTAATCCGGGTACAGGATAAAGTTCTGTATTTATACAAATACTATGTTTGGGGGGTTTGCATGTATATATTAATACTGGTTAGAGGGGAGACAAAAAAGAAAAATAAACAAAGAATAAAGTGGAAATGAAATGATTTTTGTAAATGCAAAATTTTTCGCATTTCAGGTGTTGGTTGGTAGTGTTAAAATGTAATTCTTAAAAGAAAGATTTTGTAATGAGAAAAATATAATATTTTTGGTTTATTTTCAATTTTTAACGTCTTAAAACTTTTGTCAATTTTTAAAGTAACTTTTCAAAATTCCAAAATCTTGTGAACCATATTTAGACTTAATAGATATATGTAAACATGATTATGACTTTAATACTACCATACCGATTTTTCAGAAGAGCAGATGAAATACGATTTCAATTGTACTGCTTACGTAACCATACTTTCATAAATGTTTACCTTTTATATCGTTTAGTTCTTTTTCTGCCGACAGGAGGGAGGATGGTAGATCCATCTATAGAAACCTGGCCAACACTACCCAGCCTACAAATTCAATTCAACGTTTGTGACAGTTTAGAAAATCGAGAAATTGTTCTGAAATCTGGACTATGGTTTCCCAAACAGTATAGTTGTTTTGAAATCTGAACTATAGCTCTGTAATCTTAACTATAGTTTTGTAATCTGAACAATACTTCTGTAATCTGAAATATAGTTCTGAAATCTGAACTATAGTTCTGTAATTTGAACTATAGTTCTGTTATCTGGAATATAATTCTGAATCTGAACTATAATTCTGTATCTGAACTATAGTTCTGAAATCTGAACTATAGTTTTGAAATCTGAACTATAGTTCTGTATCTGACTTATAGTTCTGTATCTGACTTATAGTTCTGAATCTGAACTAAAGTTCTGAAATCTGAACTATATTTACGTATATGAACTATAGTTCTGAAATCTGAACTATAGTTCTGAATTATAATTCTTCAATCTGAACTTTTTTATGAAACTAAAATTAGAAATAATAAATATTATCAATAAAATCAAAATTCTTCTATTATTCGTTCTTTCTTAAAGAAAGAAATGAATCATGAATTTAAATTATCAAAATTCTAAGAAGAAATGTAACAAGATGAATTTTTTGTATGGAGTTTGCTGTTTACCGGGCAGAAAGTAAGCTGCAATATTTCTCAAAAACAAAACAAAATAAAACTATTTTTCTGTTATTTTATCGTTAAAAAGAAAAAGCAAGATAAGATGTTTGAAGTCCATTTGCAAGTGTGAATTAAGTTTTAATAGGAATTAATTAAACTTCATAAGATTTGAAGTTCTGTAAATAGTTTAACTAAACATTGTATTTGTTTCTCGTTTTAAAACTGAAAGTGTAGTTAAACTCAGAATGCAGTATTGCAGAGACATTTTTTAAGATTCATTTGAGACCTATCAGAACGTTTTTACGGTGCATATTTGTTTAGCAAGCGCGAAAATTCCATCCTTAAAATCCTTACAGATTTACTAGATTTTTAATTGAAAAGACGACATTTGAAGAATTTAAAGAAATCTTCGAACAAATTCTGAGAGAATAAGAAATTCAATTAATTGATGAAAAGAAAAATGATTGATTCTGACATTGATTAATTGACAAATTTCTATTGAGAAATTGTCTTTGTGAAGAAATACAAAAATGTGAGACTGCAGAAAGCTAGTTTAGTAAAGTAAGTAAACCAATTTTGGACGTCCCAAAAACAATTGAAACTTAAATAGAAAAATTAAAGTTTCGGCTTGTTTGTTTGTATGTGTGGATTCATTAATCTATGACACAGCTGAACCGATCAGGTCATCATTTAATCATTATTAAGAAGAGGGGCGCGAGTAATGAAAAATTTAATTTATTTCTGGCCACTCTGTATTTGAAATGCAATTTTGTGAGAGTAAACTAAGCTCACTCATAAAATAAAAACGAATAGCTGTATAAGACTGTAGTTTAAGAAGTAGGAGGGGAGGGGGTTCAAGGATACCGTTGTGTATAGAGCATAATTATTTATCCCTTTGGATTAGAATTATTAAAAATTTCATAACTCTTTAACTTTTTTCTGGTTATTCAACTTTCCTAGTTTTTAATATTGATTTATTTAGTTTAAATTTAATTGAACGAAACAAAAAACTTTAAGAACGATATTCTAATTTAAAGTAATTGCACATTGTATATTTGTCGGGGATTTTATTCAAATTATTTCTAATAATTTTATTTAAATTATTAAAAAAATATTCTTTTAAATTGAAAATTGAAATGTAGAAAAGCATGATATTTAAAGGTTGTATATAGACATATTTTTAAAATAATAATAAATTATATTCTTTTTCCCAGAAAATATCCAAAATGTTCAAATTCTCAAAGTTTCCAATAAATGGTTAAAAAAAATTTTACATTAGGCTGCTTATGGGGTACTGAGGGGGGGGGGAATAAGTGTTTATATTTTATATGTGATTATAACGAAAATATTTTCAAGGAGAAAGGGTAAACCTAATCCCCCCCATTTTTTTCTCCATAAAAAATTAAATTAGCTAACCCAGCAAGTTGCCTTTTTTGTTGCTAAATATAAATAATTAAATAATGTTTTATTGCTTTTCAACAAGAAAATATCAAAAAGAAGAAAAGTGTTTTAGAAAATAAAGAAAATATAAAAGATTGTCACAAGGATATATATGTGATATGTTTTTCTTGAGTTTGAAATACTTTTTTTTAAAGGAGAAAACGGTGTTTAGGAAAACTTAAAAATTGTGCCTACAAACTCAAGATCCCCCCCCCCTCTCCTCTTAAATGGAGCATTAAAACTATGGGGGGTGGCCGGTGGGGGGCATAACCAAGGTACTAAGGCAAGGAAAGTTATCTCAGAGGTGTACGCATTTTTTGTACTGCAGTGTACTATCTTTGGGCGGAAAAGTAAACACAAGACGGATGTCACAGCCTGACATGGAATCAATTTTTGCAAAAATAATCTATAAAATATTCTGGTCATAGGAAAATATTATGTGAATTTTCAAAATTATAAAAATTAATTGCTTTTATCCTCCTCGGATATTAGACAAACACTGATGCATCTATTCTTGTTTACATATTCCGCCCAGAGAAAACTGGTTTCAATATGTACGCAGAGTATACGCGAACGCAATTAACTTTCCTTGCTTTAGTACCTTGGGCATAGCAATCCTAAATCACGCCCCCCCCCCCTCCCAACATTATACACAAATGTTCTTCTTCCTAATTATTTAGTTTAAAGTTCTAAAGTTGTCAGGATGTCTTTGTTAGTCGAATTTTAGAACTTTCTGTTAAACTTTAGTAAAACAAAAAATATTTGCTTTTTGCAGTTTGTACGATAAGAACTGATAACTCGGCTCAAATTCAAGTGTTCTAATTTCTGGCTTAAATCGTTAGAACCCGATAATCTAAAATTTTTGATGTTTCAAATTGTGACACAGTAAGGCCCATAAAAATGTGGAATAAGAAGACGTAATTTTAGCAATCTTATGTAAACTTATGATGTTTTGAATCAAATAATGTTTCCATAGCATAATGGGTCTGTGTAGTGAGTGCACTGCATAAAGACAGTGATTCATCCTCATTTAGAATCAAAACTTGATTCATGCTCATTTAGAATTAAAACTTGATTCATGCTCATTTAGAATCAAAACTTGATTTATGCTTATTTAGAATGAAAACTTGATTCATGCTCATTTAGAATTAAAACTTGATTCATGCTCATTTAGAATCAAAACTTGATTCATGTTCATTTAGAATCAAAACTTGATTCTTGTTCATTTAGAATGAAAACTTGATTCATGCTCATTTAGAATCAAAACTTGATTCATGCTCATTTAGAATCAAAACTTGATTCATGCTCATTTAGAATGAAAACTTGATTCATGCTGATTTAGAATGAAAACTTGATTCATGCTCATTTAGAATGAAAACTTGATTGAGGCTCATTTAGAAAGAAATCTTGATTCATGCTCATTTAGAAAGAAAACTTGATTCATGCTCATTTTGAATGAAAACTTGATTCATGCTCATTTAGAATGAAAACTTGATTGAGGCTCATTTAGAAAGAAAACTTGATTCATGCTCATTTAGAATGAAAACTTGATTCATGCTCATTTAGAATGAAAACTTGATTGAGGCTAACAGTCGTCTTCCTATTCCAAAGTTTAGTGGATCCCATAGTAGTAAAATTAATATTAAAATGCTGAAAAAAATATAAATCCAAACCTTTCCCCGTCATGCGTTCTCTCCGCCCCTCCATCTTCTCCCTCTGTTTCCCCTCCCCCCTCCCCGTCCGTGGTGATTTCGGACTCCATACTCGTCCCGTACAGGTTTCTCTCCTCATCCTCATCATCCGACCTACGGCGTGCCATACTCAAAACATTCTTCACGCTCCGCAGCGCGTTCATTCTAAAAATATACAATATTAGCTCTGCTCGGCGTTGCCCGTGGACAAAAAATTTGATTTCGAGAGAAACAAAGGAATTGAGTCTTTGTAACCTGAATCTAAGTGACAGGGTTTGGAGCTTTGTTAATTTAACAAAGGAAGTTTTTGAAAATTTACAGAAAACCTTTCTTTACCTTTTTAACAAACGGAAATGTTTCGTGGTTTTACCAGATTATTAGAACTGTATGGATAACTAGGGTCGAAATGTCTGTTTTGTAATTTCTCTATGATTTTACTGACATCATTGCAGTACACCCCCCCCCCCTTCCCCCGGTGTAGCTCAGCCCAGTTCGCATTTGAAAACAAACTCTGAGGGTTTAGTTAAGTAAAAATGTACATATGGATAGCATTGTTCATCAGTACAGTCAGGAGGAGCGTATTAGGTATAACTATTTATTAATTGTAAATAATATTTATATTAAATATTAATTCTTTTTTTCAATAGTATATTTATTTATTAGTTATTTTTGTATTAATAATATGTATTTTCAGCATATAAACATACTGTGTCCGAATTTAATGAATCTATAAGCCGCGTCTCGAATCTAAGAATTTAGCGAAATTTCGCAAAACAGGAAAAACGATAAAATACAAAACGGAGAAAAAAAATTAAGATATATAAAGTAGTAATCTCTGTTTGTCTGTTGGTTTGTATGTTTGAGAGTTATGCAACCTTAGACCGATTTGCCTAAAATTTTAAATGGGGAACTCAGTAGAACCACTGAGATGTTCTAATGTTCTAAGCTTGGTTTGATTTATAACTTGACAATGGTAGACTAATATGTAGAAAAAATTGGGTTCCCAAGCTAGTATAAAATAATTATATAATTTTCCTTGTTCTTTGTTTTAATTATACTAATTACATAATTACAGCAGACCTCTGGTATTCTAATTAGCTTATCTTTGTAAATGGATATATGGATATATTGTATTTACACGAACATATATGAATTATTATATCTGTATTAATGATGAAGATGTAATATGCATAAATGTAAATTAATGGTTATATGGTCAAATATTATGAATCCTATAACGACTTAGTTAATCAAATAACAAAAATTCCGTTTTAGCATTAAATAAACTAAATAAACTAAACAAAATTCTAAAAAATCCCAGTTTGTGGTAAGAACTCAGTTCCGTTACAGAAATTTAACAGATATTTTTTAAAAAAGACTAGTTTTAATATTTTTAATAAATGAAATAAAAAGCAAAAAATTATTAGAATTAAGTTGGTTAATTACTAAGTGTCGCGTAAATAAAAGACGACTGATAAAAAAGCAAATCACCTTTTCTTTTGAACCTTTTCAGAAGAGATGAAAAATTTTCTTTTTCCTGAGTTTTCATCATTTTTATCCAGGCTTCGTGTACTTCCTCCCTGGAAAATAAATATGAAAAAAATAGATAAAAACAAATTTCAGTTCTTGATTATGTATATTTAATGTACATATCTAGTTTGACATTTTATTATGTAAAATAAAAATATCCAAATTAACATATATATATCTGGTAATTTTGATGTGCAACAGGGTCTCGACCCCCCCCCCCTTCCCTCCTCCCCTAAAGATAAGCTATGGCTTTATCAGCAAATGTTTTATAGAATTTCAAAGTAGATCAAATCATAAACATTTTGAACGATTTTAATAAATTAAATAAAAAACTGCTATCAAACCTAAATTAAATAAAAACTGCTATCAAAACTAAATTAAATAAAAACTGCTATCAAAACTAAATTAAATAAAAAAACTGCTATAAAAACTAAATTTAATAAAAAACTGCTATCAAACCTAAATTAAAGAAAAAACTGCTATCAAAACTAAATTAAATAAAAAAACTGCTATAAAAACTAAATTTAATAAAAAACTGCTATCAAACCTAAATTAAATAAAAAACTGCTATCAAAACTAAATTAAATAAAAAAAACTGCTGAAATTAAAACACTGAAATCAAAAATAAATATTGGTATAAATTTAAAAATGTTTTATCGGGGCACAACAAACTATTATGACTATCTATTAAATAATGATTTAAACATTGAGAAAAATATTCTGCAGCTTCAATAAACAAATGATTTGTTGGGTCACATAACATACTTTCTGCAATGATATACATCTTAGATCCTAAGAAGTGATTAAGGATCCAAAATGTAGCAATGTTTAACTAAAAGCAATGTGGACAGTTTGTCGATATATTGAGAAATACATCTCTCTCCTATACCTTTATACACCTACACACGAGAAACAATGCTTTTCTCTCATACATAACGATGTATAAACAAAATTAAATTTTTACTTTATTTTCCATTTAAAGCCTCAAATCAGATTAGTTTTTTTTAAGCTATTTTCAGGCTTTGGATACATAAAAATGGGGGGAATGAGTGAATATTTGCTTGATTTTTTGGTACACCCTTTTCAGCAAAAACACAGTACATCACAAATAAAGGATTTGTCTACGGAGTGTCTTGATTTTCTAGTTTATAAAAGAATATAATATAAAGTGAAAGCAAATAAATATAAATAAAACCTTTGTTAAGGTTCTAGCACACTCTCTTCAAATACATCATTACTTTGCTTACATTTTCATTTTTTATATATAATATTTTCATGCAAGAGACTGTTTTAACAATTCAAAGAGTTTCTTGACAATCAATTTAAAATCTTGAAGATAACTTAGTTTTTCAACCTAAATGTTGAGAACCTTTCATCATGGTTCTAAAGAGTGAATTGTCTGAAAATAGTTTATGCCATGTCAAATTTAGAAGTTGTAATATTTAAATATAATAGGCAGCAAAAGTTTAATGAGAAATATCCGCCATTTTTTTTTGCATAAGTGTCACGCAAAATGCCGCAAACCATGCTTTCAAATAAATTCTGCCTAGTCATATTTCATTTGAAGATGGTGCAGTTTAAGCATTTCATAACATTTTGGAGTTTAAATGAATGCACCGCTTGAAAATAAAATGAATTTATTTCTGTAAACTGTAAACTGTAAACTGTAAACTGTAAACTGTAAACTGTAAACTGTAAACTGTAAACTGTATACTGTAAAACTGTAAACTGTAAACTATAAACTGTATACTGTAAAACTGTAAACTGTAAACTGTAAACTGTAAAACTGTAAACTGTACAAAACTAAAATATTTCCAAGTTTAAAGACGATACTTCAGCACAAATTCATCTAAACTTTCTCCAATATGGCCATGTAATAATGTAACTGTGGAATTTAGGTCTTAAAGTAGACCTTAAAACATCTTTAGAGCATACTTTTCTTGTTGTTAGGTGCAATTTCCCAAGGGTATTTAACCCCAGTGGAAATTGATGATTTCTTAAAAGGCAATTTTCCCTCAAGGGAAAGGGAAATCGGCATTTTTTTCTATTGAACAACAAAGCCAATAGGAATTTCTTGGATCTTCATTCTTCAGCTTGTCAAACCAAACCGTTATACTCCTAGCCACAGCGCTTACGCAACTTTAGGTAATCCTAGCCGAAATGCAATCAGCCTTTTCAAGCTGCAGTGCTTCCACCAACTGACTAATCTAACTGATGCATTTGGCTTTTAGTCTTTCCTAGCCGAAAAGTTCGACCCAAAGAGTAACCCGGGTTTTACATAAAAATTTGATATTTTGGCAAAAATATTTTACAAACATTTTTTTAATATTATTATCAGACAGAAATTATTCCAGTAAAATCAAAAGTCAAAACGTAAAAATACAGTTTATATATTATTCAGCGCTAGTTTAAATTAATATAACATTACAAACAAAGCATAAAAGCCAGAAAGGTAATTTTTAAATTACCTTTATGTTAAAATAAGGCATTATACCTGTTGTCTGCTTGTTTTTGCAAGTTGGTTTGCTGACATACTTCTTTCTATGTTGGCAATATTCTTCTCTATGTCAATCAATGCTCTTTGATCATCCGACATATCCCCCTCCCAAGCACTGAACAAATTGATTTTAAAACGAGATGCACTAACAATAATCTGTGTTAGCTAAAATAAGTACTTATTCAATAAAATTGAGTTTCTGCGACAAACTCAAATTTTCTAACACCTAATATCTCTACTCATATTCTAGAGTTTGAAATATTAAAGGTCTACACCATTGTGCAGCAAAGATGTAGGGATTAGAAAATCAGTGTTTGTGACAAACACTCAATTCCTTTATAATGTTTTTATAACATTTCATAATTAAATATTTAAAATTATTCAGTTCTCTAGTTTAAGATTGAAATGGAAAATATTTAAACTTCAACCTTCAGCACTGTATGAGAGAATTAATAAAGTAAAATTATTTAATTTTTAATTATTTGTTATTTAAATCCATTAAAAAAGTATTGTTTTAGGCCTGTGGCTAAATTAAAAAAGGAGATAGGCTATTTTTAGACTTATTAAATTCACTCTCCAACCAGGGTGGGTTAAAGTTCAATTCAAATCGATCCAAACTTTACATAAATATATAATAGTTCAGAAATTCTTTTGGAATTTCAAAACTTGCCCATTATACTTTTTAACACAATATACAGGGATGAGACTTTAGGCTGTACAGAATCTAATCAAGGCATTATCCGTACATTCAGGGTTCCTAGTTTATTAAGTTTATTTCTTACCCAAATCAAAAAGTTCACAAAGAACCATTTATGTTCAAGGCAAAATACAAAAATTAACCCATAGCTTATTGTTTTTAAAAACTATTGACTCATTCTTTGTGGTTAACCCTGTATTAGATAGTAGAATTAAATGGCTGCGTAACCTCCCTTAGCAAAATTTATAAATATCGTCATTATTGTTAGTATTTTGGAGTATTAAATATATATATATATATATATTTATATATATTATATGTCTGTTCGTTGATTTGTTTGTTTATACAGAAACAAAAAGTCAAAATATGGCTGAACCGATCTGTCCCAAATCTTTTGTGGTAAATTGGCAGCTCACAGGACTAAAAAGGATGGTCAGAATAAAAATACTGCTACAAAAAATCTTATCTTCAAATTTTGTAAATCTGCAAATGAAAACCTGTAAATATCTGCAAAATTTGTACTGTTATTTTATCAAAATCTACAATTGGTTTGCAAGAAGCATTTTTTTTTGTTTCCAATTAAGAAGTTAGACTGAAGCTGGAAAAACTAAATAACGTCTGTTACAGTTTAGTTTAATTGGATTGAGAATTTGATAAAGAAAAAAGGCTCCCTGCAGTGTCTTAGCTTTTTTATATCAAAAGGAAAGAAAAGACAAATTTTTTTCATAACTATTAATCTAATAATAAAAAACTTGTCTACAATTACCCTTGGGGATATTTGTGGGAAAAGTTTGGATTGTTTAATAAATTGTTTCTTGGTTACATCTACCTCTAGTTAGAAAATAATATTATAGTGGTTATGTAAATTACCCTGGCTGGCTACTGTATTAAAACTTTAAAGTTTTTATATCTTAGATTTTAAAAAAACATATTTATGGAAGACTTATTCCTTGTAAAACTGTTACATGCTTCAGCTTGGCTTTTTAGGGTGAAATATTTGAAAATACGGGTTTCAAAAACCTTATTTTGTCTTGCCTTCAGTGCTTCGTTTACAAGGTAAAAGTGTTAATTATCAAACATTTTTTGGTGATTTTGCATTTTAGAAACTTATTTTTACATAATTATTTTTAAGTTTAAATTTATATAATATTCTTTAAACTGTTATATGTTAGTATATGCAAAAATTTTGACATTTCTACATTTCTTGTTCTTCATTTTCTTCTTGTTTCTACATCTTTCAATCATTTTTCAGCTAATTAGGTGAAGATGCCTACTTTTCTATTTTTCTACAGTACACACATTAGATGTGTCAGCAACTAAATTAGAACTGATTCAGCTACAAACAAATACATATTTCAGGTGTATTTTCTATCACGGTGAAATGGAGGGGGTGGAGAGGACATCTCCCAGCCCCATCTCCTATATTGTCTCCAATCGCTAACAGAATAAATTGATAGTGTAAAGCTTATCATCAGAGAGTTCTCTCCCATTTTTCCTGTTAAATTTTCTTTCTTCTTTATGTTTATTATTTTTAGGCCTGCACTGCTTATGCATAATGGGGAAAAGCCTTAAAGTCCCATCAAGTGGAATCTTCCACAGTAGTCCAGTCCTCACTACCGGCCCAGTAAAAACTGGTATCATTGTGCATGGCTTGTATACCTATAGAGGGTTATACTTCTGTGTTTCTTGTTTCAGTTGAGATGTTGATTAGTCGATAAGCTGAAGATGGAGTTCTTCTTTACTGTTTAATTCCTATATTTTGCTACTCCTTGTAGGATAAGTCATGAGCAACTCTATGCAGTTCTCTTACAAGCTGTGGAATCGGGAACTACTATGGGGAGAGGTCCGTACCCTTCTAAGAGCAGAAAGCAAACGATTTTAGCACCTTAACTTTACTATAAAAACTGTCCATTTGAAACATCACTGTTACAAGGCTTTTAAAAAATATAACTTTTGAATTGGAAAATCAATTAGCCTGTCCGTATGAAAATAAAATCTTCGAGCTAAATCTTTCGAAAACTAATTTGACACTACGATCTCAAAAATGTATTTGATGAAAAATCAAAAACTGAAATTTTGTCTTTTTTCATTAAAATGCCTGTCAAGCTCTACACTTTCGGCGTCCTTTGCTTAATCAAAAAAAATTTAAAGATTCTGAAGATAAAAATTATTTTATGAAAATGAAGAATTTTCCGAGTGATTGGCTCTATAAAAGGTTACTTTAATAAACAAAATTAAGCTAAGTGATGAATAAATTCTTTTTGAATTATTCATCAAATTTTAACAATTCTGATAAAGAAGAAATTTTTTACTGGGGTTCTAAGAAATGTGCTTTGCGCTCCTACTTCCGAAAAATGTCTACTGTTTAATGCTTTTAAACATTAAGTTAGACATTTTTTCATTAAAAAAATATTTCTAAATGCAAATTTTATACTATTCTCGCCAAAAATTGAAACCAATTGGTTTTTGCGTTTTTTGGGGAAAAACCAACAAAACCAACAAATACTACACATATGTTTATTTACACATATAGACAGGATATCCGCTAAAATATGCATTTTTTCCATTTCTTAAATAATATGTGAAGGATAAAAGTAGGCTTGACAGTGGGTAACCCTAGACTTTATAAATGTAAAAAACGTATTAAATAAAAAAATATTGCTGAGTTATGCATATTGAATGAGTCTATTGAAGAAAATATGAATGATTTAAACCTCAAAGAAGAAATCTGTGTTCACTTTCAAAACAATATCAATCATTTATATATTTTTACAGAAAGTAAAATGTGTGCAGAAATTTTCTATTTTCTATATTTTCTATAAGTAGCTTTACCACGATATTAAAGATAAAAAATAATGACAAAATTAGATATTTAGCATTTTTTCATAAGAAATATTCTTATTACCCAATATGTATTCTTCTGTATTCATATTCTTATATTATCTTTCATCTTTTCCCTGTAGGTGTATCCATATATCCATAATTACTATTTACTTTTCATCTTGTTCTGTCCCTGTATCCATATCCATAACCATTATTTACCTTTCATCTTGTTTTTTCCCTGTAGGTGTATTGTATCCATATCCATAATTATTATTTACCTTTAATCTTGTTCTGTCCCTGTAGGTGTATCCATATATCCAAAATTATTAATTTCCTTTCATCTTGTTCTGTTCCTGTAGGTGTATCCATATATCCATAATTATTAATTTCCTTTCATCTTGTTCTGTCCCTGTAGGTGTATCCATATATCCATAATTATTAATTACCTTTCATTTTGTTCTGTTCCTGTATCCATATATCCATAACCATTGTTTACCTTTCATCTTGTTCTGTCCCTGTAGGTGTATCCATATATCCATAATTATTAATTACCTTTCATTTTGTTCTGTTCCTGTATCCATATATCCATAACCATTGTTTACCTTTCATCTTGTTCTGTCCCTTTATCCATATCCATAATCATAATTATTTACCTTTCATCTGTCCCTGTATCCATATCCATAATTATTAGTATTTACCTTCCATCTTGTTCTGTCCCTGTATCCATATCCATAATTATAATTATTTACCTTTCCTCTGTCCCTGTATCCATATCCATAATTATTATTATTTACCTTTCATCTTGTTCTGCCCCTGTATCCATATCCATAATCATTACTTACCTTCCATCTTGTTCTGTCCCTGTATCCATATCCATAACTATTAGTATTTACCTTTCATCTTGTTTTGTCCCTCTATCCATATCCATAATCATTACTTACCTTCCATCTTGTTCTGTCCCTGTATCCATATCCATAATCATAATTATTTACCTTTCCTCTGTCCCTGTATCCATATCCATAATTATTAGTATTTACCTTTCATCTTTTTCTGCCCCTGTATCCATATCCATATTTATAATTATTTACCTTTCATCCTGTTCTGTCCCTGTATCCATATCCATATTTATAATTATTTACCTTTCATCCTGTTCTGTCCCTGTATCCATATCCATAAAGTTGCGAAAGTGAATGCCCGGACCTTTATACCAGATGAATAACTCAAGGGACGCCTAGAAAAAAAGGAAGTTTGTTTTTAAAAGAATGAGATTGAGAAGGTATGAGAATGAGATTGAGGAGGTATGAGAATGAGATTGAGGAGGTATGAGAATGAGATTAAGGAGGTATGAGAATTTATTCTGTAAATACAAACAGTGCAGCGTAATGTTGTAAATGATGCTCAAAAAAGTATTCTTAGAAATAAAAACATTTTGCTTCGTGTAAAACAAAATGTCAGCGTAATTACAATTGTAATTACAATTGTAATTACAATTGTAATTACAATTGTAATTACAAATGTAAAGATGGCAATGCCCGATTCAAAACCGTTAAAGCTTTGTCAAGTATGAATTAGATTTCAAGTTTTAAATTTAGAAAATGGATTGTTTTCACTTGTCGTCTCTACAAAAGTGAAATGCGCATTTCTACTGTAGGACAACATTACAAGATTACCAGAGTTCAACACTTTTAAACCTAGAAAAACGACAATATCTTCCACTTTATTGATCAGTTAAGGGTATCATGGTTAGAGTTGTAAATCTGGCAGGGCCATCTTTGCATGGAGGATAAACTACGTTATTAGTCCCTTTAAGAAAATAATTTTTATCATAGAAAAAAAAATAATTTACCTAACTATTCTATTTGTTTTTATTAATGCAATTATTCTAATTCTTCTTTTTTGTTTTGAAAGTTGTTTGTATTCTATAGAGTGTGTATGTCATAAAAACAATAAAAACTATAAAAATTTTTCTTTTGCGGCAATATTTGAGTTCCTGTGTCTGAAAATTTGTAGGATTTTCAACTTGTGTCTTCCTGCAGTGATTTTATACAATGTTCTATCTCAGTTTATATTGAGCAAGTAATCTCTGTAAAATTTAGATGGTTTTAAGGTTAACGTTGAAACCCCCTTACTTGGAGAGCTTTACTGTATCTAGTAAAAACTGCTTCAAAGTAATTTATTACAAATGTTTTCTTGGTGACTTTAAAAACGCGTTTTAACTTTAGAATTGTGAAAATATTAATAAATTTAAATGGGTTTTTAAAAAACTTTTTCGAAGTAAACTTTCAAATGGGTGGATTAACTTTAGTCATTTCCGACAAGAAAGCAGTTGATTCCTTGCCCAAAACTCTAATCTTTATTTATTTTCAACCTGATGGTGTAAACCTTGGTTACTTTAAGGTTGCATAGCTATAAATATCAAAGGTTTCGGAAATGAAAAGAAATCAGAAATAAAAATTAGAGTGTTAGTTTCTTTAACCAATAATTGGTCAAACCATTGAGAAAATCCGCTAAACTTCCCGAGATTAACTTAATCCGTCCAATCTTCGACAGGGTCGTTATTTACCTTGATTGGTCGATTGTTTGGGTCAAGCATAGTCGCCATAAGCTGTTGGTGAGATTCATCTGACAACATTCAAAATATTAATTTTTAGATTATTCGGTAAAATCATTTTACATCGCTAGCTCCTTAATTTTTGTAATTTCTTGGAATTCAGTTTTTATGTCTATAAATCCATTTCCGAAAAAATTACATTTTTTGCTTTGAGATAAAGATCATCCATCTACACTTTTGTAAAACTGCAAATTTAAGAAAAATATTGAAACCTCAAATTATATGATTTAACAGAATTATTGTTTAAAATATATAAGATCTTCGCCATTTGACTGCAAAGATATAGGGAATAGAAAGTTAGAGTTTGTGGCAAAGACTCAATTCCTTCATGCTACAAAGTGAAATTTTACTGTTCACAATTTAGTTATTGTCTTTGTTTGAGCATGACAGTTTTCAAGTCTATTCCGTTGAAAACTAATTCTAAATTTAAAATAATTTAATTTTAGTTTAAAGTTTCCTAGGAGTCGGTGGAGGGGGAGGGACACCACAGCAACTACCCGATTGTTTAAAAACCTGAAAATTTTGCAATAATTATTTTGTCCACATCATTGAAAACTTTCTGTACAAGGGACTGTACATACAATTTTACGTGACCTTTGAGTGGCAAGTTTTGTTATCAGCGCTTGTACAAGGGTAATTCAGCGTTGACAGATGAATGCAGGCATTCCAATTGATTATCTTGTTTTCCTCTTCAATTTCCCTTCATACCTTAACTTGCCATTTTTCTCTGTCTCTCTGTTTTCCTAGCTACTGTTAGAAGCGCCTCTGCAAAGACCTAGGTCCTGCTTTGAGGAAAGCTAGAGTATAACTTTGTCGGAGTTAGATAAAAATTAAATATTTTCAATTGCGGATTTGTTCAATATAGACCAAAGTGGAAACTGTCAAAATTTAACATTTTTCATAATTCTGATTCTCCGATAAAGGTTTAAAGGATATTGTTGATAATCTGCAGACATTCCAATATTTTAAATGAGGATTCCTTCAAATTACGTCTACAGTCTCTTTAAGATAAATTACGTCTACAGTCTCTTTAATGAATGTTATAGCACAAACTTTATCTTGTAAACAAATCCTTTTCATCAAAAGTTTGATTAATTTCTTTTTTACAATTTCTTTTCTTATTTTCTTTGTACAATACTTAGTAGTTTACTTAACGCTCATATTTAAAGTAAAAGTGTAGGTTTTAAAGTAAAAGTGTAGGGTTTAAAGTAAAAGTGTAGGTTTTAAAGTAAAAGTGTAGGTTTTTAAGTAAACGTGTAGGTTTTAAAGTAAAAGTGTAGGTTTTAAAGTAAAAGTGTAGGTTTTAAAGTAAAAGTGTAGGTTTTAAAGTAAAAGTGTAGATTTTGGTTTTAAAGTAAAAGTTTTGGTTTTAAAGTATAATTGTAGGTTTTAAAGTAAAAGTGTAAGTTTTAAAGTAAAAGTGCAGATTTTGGTTTTAAAGTAAAAGTGTAGATTTTAAAGTAAAAGTGTAGGTTTTAAAGTAAAAGTGTAATCTAAGGTTTCCTAAGCGCGTATATTTCAAAATTCTAATTAAAATGTTGAATTTCTATTCATAAACTATATGAGAGTAAACATTGAATACAATTAATTATAAATAGAATTAATTATTTGAAATTTTGAACTTTAATTATGAAGAGTAAATATAGTTACAAATTAACCTATCCATTCTAGTACTTTCTAATTTAATTAAATTAAATTGGATTTCTGATAAAATTAGTTTATTATGCGGTTATAACATTGGCGTTAGGTTCTAAAGAAAATGAAGCCTAGAGAGCTAGGCTCCAAAGAAAATGGCGCTTAAGTGTCAAAGCATAAATAGCTAAGTTTTAAAACTTATCTAGGCAAATATTAAACTTTCTTTAGTATTTGTTATATATAAACCTGTTATGAGCTAGTATATGCTATATATAAACCTGTTATGAGATAGTATTTGTTATATATAAACCTTAAACCTGTTATATATAAACCTGTTATGAGATAGTATTTGTTATTATATACCTGTTATGAGATAGTATTTGTTATATATATACCTGTTATGAGATAGTATTTGTTATATAAAAACCTGTTATGAGCTAGTATTTGTTATATATAAACCTGTTATGAGCTAGTATTTGTTATATATAAACCTGTTATGAGCTAGTATATGCTATATATAAACCTGTTATGAGATAGTGTTTGTTATATATAAACCAGTTATGAGCTAGTATTTGTTATATAAAAACCTGTTATGAGATAGTATTTGTTATATATAAACCTGTTATGAGAATAGTATTTGTTATGTATAAACCTGTTATGAGATAGTATTTGTTATATATAAACCAGTTATGAGATAGTATTTGTTATATAAAAACCTGTTATATATAAACCTGTTATGAGCTAGTATTTGTTATATATAAACCTGTTATGAGATAGTATTTGTTATATATAAACCTGTTATGAGCTAGTATTTGTTATTATATACCTGTTATGAGCTAGTAAAAGTATTTCTAATTTTTCATCAACATCGAGCCCTCTTGCTATTGGCCATTCAACTGTCTAAAAAAATATAATTCATAATATAAAATATGGGGTGCCAAAGCTCTGTTTTGGTTTGCTTTAAGAGATATAAACTTGTGATGTATTTGTTCTTTAGGGCCACAAATAACATGATGAAATCATCTATAATTCTTTTTTTTTAGAAAACTTTAATTATGTATTCTCCCCTGTCCTTCTTTCTAATGAATGAGAAAGGATTAATTCTGATAAACCTGATCCACCGCCATTTTCCCTTCTGATACTATTTAGAATCCCTCTTATTCCCCAATCCAACTTAATAAATATATTCCTGTTTACAACAGATGTACAATTAATTGATTTATGACTTAATTATCATTAAAGATGATGTGGGGCCTCCCCCCCCCCCTCTTTAAAAAATAATCTTTGCAGTAAAGTTAGCGAGAAATGTAAGTTCATTGTCCAACTTCAAAATTGTATACAGCTCATTTTGGAAAAAATATAATTGATTAGACCAGCAAGTTTGCTGCTCAATTTTTTTAGTTATAGGCTATCTGGGCATTTTGGGAGGCTATAGACTATCTGAGCATTTTGAGAATCTATAGGCTATCATAGCATTTTGAGAGGCTATATGCTATCTGAGCATTTTGAGAGTCTTTAGGCTATCTGAGCATTTAGAGAGGCTATAGGCTATCTGGGCATTTTGAGAGGCTATAGGCTATCTAAGCATTTTGAGAAGCTATAGGCTATCTGGTCATTTTGAGAGTCTATAGGCTATCTGAGCATTTTGAGAGGCTATAGGCTATCTGGTCATTTTGAGAGTCTATAGGCTATCTGAGCATTTTGAGAGGCTATAGGCTATCTAAGCATTTTGAGAAGCTATAGGCTATCTGGTCATTTTGAGAGTCTATAGGCTATCTGAGCATTTTGAGAGGCTATAGGCTATCTGGTCATTTTGAGAGTCTATAGGCTATCTGAGCATTTTGAGAGGCTATAGGCTATCTAAGCATTTTGAGAAGCTATAGGCTATCTGGGCATTTTGAGAGTCTATAGGCTATCTGAGCATTTTGAGAGGCTACTTTTATTCTTTAGATGTTCCTGTAAAGTCACTTCTGGGAAATCAATATGTTTTAAGATCATAGCTTCATGAGAGGGCAACATGGATAAATATGTGGGTTACCAATACCCCTAACTCTCCCCACCCCCATGTTTAGGGTAAATACATTTAGGATGAATGATTAGGATAATGATAGGATGAATAGGTAAATAAAAGATAAATGAATGAATGAATCAATAAATGAAAGGATGAATAAGAGAATAAAAATAAATGAATCAATCAATCAATCAATAAATAAATGAATAAATAAATAAATAAATAAATGACTGGATGCCTACCTGTGTAATTACTGATGTGTCCCCTTTATGATCAAATAATTTAGTCTGTTTAGACACTCCTGAAAATAAAAATATAAACACCCCTGAAAAAAGAAAAATATAAACACCCCTGAAAATAAAAATATAAACACCCCTGAAAAAAAAGAAAAATAAACAACCTTGAAATTAAAAAGATTTCAAAACACACCTTTAAAAGAGAAGCCTACATGACTACTCTATATCAATTACACATTTTACACAAAAAAAACTGTAAATTAGCAACAATATGCTTGTTTACATTACTCTCACTATATGCAGTACACTTAGTCTGCACAAACAAGTTCATTGTATTTCTTGAAATTACTTATTAAATTATGTAATTTACTAAAATGTGCTAAACTTATAACTGTAATTTACTAGACTGTACTAGAATTAGCTTGTTATCTTTTAATAGTGGGTAACCCTGTACTAAACTATGGACAAACTTCAGTAAAAGTCAAAAACTTGTCAACTAAACACATCTATCAATGTTATGATTTAAACCTTTTAAAAGTGTGCTAATTGGAAGAAAGCTTTCAGCCTCAATTTATAACTTTAAATAGTCCGATGAACATCATGAGACACAGTAATTGTGCAGTGTAAACAGACCCCTTAAACTTAATAAGTGATTAATAAGTTACAAGCAAAATTATTTGTAACAACATCAAAAAACGTAATCATTGCTTTAATGTCGTCTTTCTTTTGCACAGTTTTCTGGTTTTCACTGTTTATTATTTTAACCTTTTAAAAGTTTAATAATTGGAGGAAATTGCTGTTATACTAGAAATTGTGAACATTTTCTCTTTGTATACATTGGAAAACGAAAACAAAAAAACTTTGCGGATTTTATCAAAAAATTTCGTGGATTTTCAAAACTTTATGGAAATTGAATTTTGTTGGAGGCTATTTTTTAAATTTTGATCATTCATAAACCTTCCCTGGGGTCATAAGAGGTCCAACAAACAAATTTGAACTGGATCGGTTCAGCCGTTTTGATGTTTATTGGAGAAAAACACACAGACAGACACCCACCATGACAAGCCGGCTATAGGCAACATATATACAAGAATGTCTTGTTTTATTATATTAAGTGACAGGGCCAAACTTATATATTTAAAAAGCCCATGAAAAATTAATAGTAATACCATGTCACATGTTAATATTAGTCAAAAGTAAAAATATTTATATTGCAGATTTTTCCGACGCATTTTTAGAACTTATTTAAAATACTCCCTTGCACCCTAACCATTCAAGATAGATTTCTAATTGTTTTTAAGGAACAGACCTTGAAAAGTTGGACTAGGGACATGTATTACACTCCACCTATCTCAATTCTAAGGGCAAATCTATGTTAGACAAAAATAGCCTAATCGAGATAGGGTTAAAATCAAGTCCACGCATGTTTAAGTTATAAGATGTTTAACGCAAAACTAACTAAAGATTAGTATGTCCGGGCAAACTATCTTTAAATGTGTTATTTTGACTTTTTATCAAAAAACCTTTTCAGTCGATTTAAACGTTTGGTGAGTTAAGGCGATTTCTGGGCCGAGCGCTGCGGCTAGAAACACTGATTTGATCCAGCGCTGTGGCAACCAGCCAAGATGTAAATTTTATAAGTGTAAAAAATAATTAAAATTTGGTTTGGTAGCAAAAAGTTTCGAATTTTTTGTTTTGTTTTTTTAACTTTGAAAAGCGAATCATATTTTAGAATATAAGTTTGTTTAGACTGGTATCTCATATTTTAATAAAAAGAAAGAATGCATTTACTTCTAAACCTAAAATTGATAAAAAGAATATTAATTCAAAAAAAAAATTTCCATTATGCCTCTTTACCTTAACCCTATTCCTGCTGTATTTTTTTTACATAACTTAAAAAGTATTGGTCTGAGGCTGTTGAAATTTTTTGAATTTTCCTACATACCCAAAGCCCTCCCTTTAGGCCTAAAACCGGGCTTTAATACTAACTGCCTGAGTCCTCAGGCACACTGCCTGAATGACTGCTTTTGCCTGTAACATACTAAATCTTTGTTTTGACCCACTTTCACTTGTCAGATTTTGATAAAATTTAGCTTTTTGGAAAGCCTATGACATAAGGAAACGGATTGCACAAGTGTTTTGCGAAAAAAATTGCAAATTTTTTGCAAACAACCTGTCCAAGGAAATTTGCACATTTTTAGTTTTTCATGATTAAAAATTTGGTTATTTGAAATTTTGCATATTTAAAATTTTTGCATATTTAAAATGGCATGGTTGAGGGCTTTTCAAAAAAGTATAATTTTTCAATTTTTGGACAAATTTTTTTTGCAAACATTTTTACTATATAACTGGATTTTGCGATATAAAATTCAATTTTTGCCAATTTGCAAATTTTTTTGCAGATTCTAAAAGTAGAGCACAAGAGCTTTCTAATGATGTATCATTTGTCATATTTGGACATCAAACATGGGATTTAGAGGGGGGGGGGTCAAATTGACCCCCCCCCAGCATATCCTGGTTTTCAAGTACCCAGCAGGGATAGGGTTAAGGGACAAGTCATCGTAACTTAGAGTGAGTCTCCTTTTAAAAAGTGTCAATGGTATCCTTGATAAATAATATGGAAGACAACGTCGTTTTTCAGCTTGGAAAGTGTTTAATTCTTATATTTTTTCTATTGTTTCTGAAGCCAGAAATGTACAATTGTCTGTTTTGCAGAGACACCAGAAAACCAAATGATATCTTGAAATTACGTCAACAGTTCCTTTAAGATAAAGATATTCCTAGTTAGAGACATTATAAAAGAATAAAAGAAAGAAGGTTTATTGAATAAAAGAAACAAGTACCCCCCCCCCTTCTCATGTGTGGCCCCACCACCATCCTGAGGCCCCGCCTCTCTATCTAATGTCTAGGACTCTTCAAATTACCCATAAGAACATCAAGTATGTATTCACATCTATTCTAGATAAAATATCTTTTAGATGGATATTATATATCTATTCATGTGATGTATATACTATATATACTATATATACTATATACATACATATTATATAGTATATATATATTATATATATTCATGTGATGTATATACTATATATACTATATATACTGTATACATATATATTATATATATTCATGTGATGTATAAACTATACATAATATATATATACTTTTTTGTCTGTCTTGGTGTCTGTTTGCTAATTTGTATCCAATTAACGTAATAATGGCTGAACCGATCGGACTAAACTTTTTATTACACCTCGCAGTTGCATAACTACAAAACATGTTTATGGATCGTCGACATTAAAAAACAATTTCGCGGGTAAACTCTTATTTTTGAAAATGCTCCGATTTAAACAAAAAAAATCGGTAACATTTGAGAATGCTTAAAATGCCAACTTTCAGCAGTCGAAGCTAAAACTGAAAATAGACAAGGTGGCGCGAAGCGTCCATTAAGGCCTAGATTATTATGACTCTAGTAAGGTTATTATATCATCTATTCCAGAAAGACAGAAATACAGCATCTTCATTCCAGAATCCAGATATTTTACAAGAGAAAAAATTAGAACTGTATTCCTGTATTTTGTTTTCAAAAACCGTTTCTAGAAAAAAAAATACAATTTTATCTCGACATGAATTTGAAAAATATTAACACAGTTTTCATTTGGACTTAGTAATTGTGTACGTTAGTAACAGATTATTTGTTGAAATTGATTTTACTTCTGTTTTAACAATGTTGTGTATTAAAGGGACCCTCCCTGCAAATATTGAAATGCCAGTTCACAACAACTTTGTCTGATCAAGTATAATTTAGAAATCAATGTTTATAATTTAGAAAAACCATGATTATAACCAATTTTGTTTCTCTTCAAAAATGACTTGCGCATTTCTACTGTGGGAAAAAAATATAAATTATCATATTTTAACACTTTTAAACCAGAAAACGACAATATCTTTCACATTATTGATCTGATAATGTTTCAAGGGAACCGTTGTGAATCAGGCATTACCATCTCTGGATGGCGAGTCTCTTGAAATTACGCTTACGGTCCCTTTTAGTTCCACTTCTTAGCGGTCACTCCCTTTAAGATGTATGTATGACGTCATGACGTAATATAAAGTTGAGAAAATACTCCACTCACAGTCACATAGATTCAGACTGCTAAGAAAAGTTGCATGAACTTTTATGATTAAGTGTCTCAGTGCCTTGGCTTTTAATGTTATCTCACACACTCACTTATACTTTTTTAGCCTTAGACATGTACAATTTATAACTTTAAAGAACTTGTTTTTATCTTTAGTTTTTAAAAATTTATTTGCAAAACTCTCACGAAAGCTTGAAACCTTTGGATCACTGTATACAATACATATACTTCATAGATTATATGTTTATGGATAAAATATATATACAATCTTCCAGGGATTATCTTTAATATCAACTGTAAACAATGTTCATATCTCCAATTTTTTGAAACATAATGGACTAGCTCGGGAACCCAGCTTTACCAGGAGCTTAAACTTTAACTATAAAAGTCTACCACTCAACTTAAAATTTTTTTACCAAGATAAAAATATCCTGTGGTTCTACGAGTTCCTCAATTCAACGTTGAGGCAAATCGGTCCATGGATTAACATGAGTTATGATTGAACATAAACTAACAGACAGGCACCAAGGCATACAAGCAGAGATTACTACTTTATAAATATAAATATAGATAATGACTCAGTTTAGAAAAAAAAGAGAATAATGGGATCGAGATTAATTGTATCCTTCCGTTTTGAGAAACCAGAAAGTCGAAAGATTCTCAAAAAAGGTTCATACCCAGTACCCACAATAATATGATCAATATTTATAATATTAAAGGGAGTATTCGCGAAAAATGAAAGGGGGTATAGGCTTAATGCGATAAAAAAGCGCTTTTGATCGTTACTAATCTTACTTCTATCTGTTGCGTCTATAAGGAGAAAATTGTTAAAGACGTCTCATACCGAATAACTTAGCGGCCATACAAATTCAGAAAATCGCAACATACTACTTAGACCGTAAAAAATCAATTTAATTTCA